TCCCTGAGGTGGGGGTGAGGGTGATGGGGGCTCCTTTGGTTCTCTCCTCCCCACCCCCACACCTGGGTTCACCCCCTCCTACACCCTTTTGCTTCAGTTTCCCCTTCCCTAGGTTTATCCCTGGGCTGGGGGGCGGGGGAAGAGTCAGCCTGTTCAACTCCCATCTTGGTGTGCCCCCCCCAACAGGGCATTGCTGAGCATCACCAGCTTCGGCACCAGGTCACCATCGGAGCCCAGGGTGAGTGTGGGGGTGTGGCTTAGCCTTACCATACCCCCTCCCCAAGGAAGCCCCGCCCCCAACCCCCTAATGGCTGTCCCCCATCACCAGCCAATCATGGGTTCCATGGGTTGGTCCACACCCCCCACCCCCCCACATCACCCTCCAGTTATGGCATCCCTGGGTAGCCCACTCACAAGCTCTGCCCCCCCCCCGCCAATCACAGGGGACCCCCTCCTTGGACCTGCCCCCAAACACTCTGCAATACATCCCTGGGTAGCCCTGCCCCCTCCATCAGCATCAAGCTCTCCCCGCTGGGTCTAGGCCCTGACCCCTGACCTTGTCTTGACCCCCAGACCTGCAGGCAGATGGCTTTGGGCCCAACCCCTTCTACCACTGCCTATTGGCGGAGCTGCTCCCCAGGCCGGGGGAGCTCCCAGGTGAGGACCCACCTCCCCTCCCAGCCCCGCCCCAAGAGCCTTTGACCCTTGACCCCTGACCCCCGTCTCCATTGTGCCAGGGCCCCCTGTAGGCTACGCCCTCTTCTTCTTCGGCTATAGTGTGAACCACGGGCGCCTTGTCTACCTGGAGAACCTCTACGTGGAGGCCCCGTACCGAGGTGAGGGGGGTCAGGAGGCAAAGGTCACCAAGGGGTTGGAGGGGCAAAGGTAACCTAGGCCCAGGCAGGGAGCAGAGGTCACCCAATGGTTGCAGGGGTGGGGGGAAGGGAGGCAGCCTGGGTTAGCGTGTGACCCCAGACCTTTGGGTCATGACCTTGGCTGTGACTGCACTTGTGGCTGTTATCCAACTACCTTGCATGTCACATAAGCTACAGTGCATTGTGTTGCGTTGCTTTGCCTTGAGCCGACTTGCATCAGGTTGTTGCGTTATGCCGAGCTGACTTGAGTTGCGTTGTGCTGTGCGGAGCTGGCTTGTGGCTGGCTGTTGCGTTATGTGCATTGCATTGTGCGGAGCTGACTTGGATTATGTGTGTTGTGCTAAATTGACTTGCATCAGGTTGTGTTGCTGCATTGTACTGAGCTGACTTGTGTTGCGTTGTGCTGTGTGTTGCGTTGTGCTATGCTGAACTGATTTGTGTCATGTTGTGTGTTGTGTTGTGCTGACTTTTGTCATGTTGTGCTGTGCAGAGTTGACTTGCGTCTGTGTTGCATTGTGCTGAGCTGATGTGTGTTGCATTGTGCTGAGCTGAGCTGACTTGTGTTGCGTTGTGAAGCTGATCTGACTTGTGTTGTTGCATTGTGCTGTGCAGAGCGGACTTGCATTGTTTTGTGTTGTGCTAAGCTGACTTGTGTTGCGTTAAGCTGGGCTGAACTGACTTGTGTTGTTGCGTTGTGCTGAGCTGACTTACATTGTGTGGTGTTGTGCTGTTGCAGAGTTTTCTTGCGTCATGTTGTGTTGTGTGTGTTCTGCTGTGGTAAGCTAACCTGTGTCAGGTTGTGTTGCATTGTGCTGAGCTGAGCCGACTTGCATTGCGTTGTGTGTTGCATTGTGCTAAGCTGATTTGTGCGTATTGCACTGTGTTGAGCTGACTTGCATCAGGCTGTGTGCATTCCATTGTGTTGAGCTGAATTGAGTTGTATCGCGTTGTGCTAAGATGATTTTTGTTGCATTGTGCTGAGCTGACTTGTGCCAGGTTGTGTGTTGCATTTTGTTGAGGTGAGTTGACTTGTGTTGTGCTGAGCTGACTTGTACTGTATGTGTTGTGTTGTGCTAAGCTGACCTGCATCAGGTTGTGTGTTGCATTGTGTGGAGCTGACTTGCGTTGTGTGGAGCTGAACTGACTTGTGTCATTGTGCAGAGCTGACTTGCACCAGGCCGTGTGTGTTGTGTTGTGCTGAGCTGACTTGCGTTGTGCTGAGCTGACTTGCGTTGTGCAAAGTTGACTTGCATTGCACTGTGTTGCATTGTGTTAAAATGACTTCATTGTGTTGCATTGTGTTGAGCTAAAGTGACTTGTGATGTGTTGCTCTGAGCTGACTTGTGTTGCATTGTATTGTATCGCACAATGCAACACAACTCAGCATAGCCCAGGCCAATGCAACATGACCCAACTGAGTGTAACTCAACCGAACAACTCAATGCAACTCAGGTGTAACCCATGCTGAGTCAGCTCAATAAAACACAACACAACGCGATTCAGGGTACCAATGCCAATGCAATAAAACTCATCAGGACAACACAACCCAACGTAACATGAGCCACCTCAGCACAGCACAACACAACATAACACCACACCACACAACTCAGTGTAATCCAGACCAACCCAACATGAACCAGCTTAATACACTTCAACGCAACTCAGTGCAACACAGCCCAGCTCCATGAACACACATCTCAGCATGACATAACCCTGTGTAACTCAGGCCAACACAGCACAATCCCCTGTAACTCAGGCCAACACAACACAACCCAACTCGATGCAACACAACTCAGCTCAACACAACACAGTGCAACATAACTCAACCCTATGTAACTCAGGCCAACTCAACACGACCCAATTCAATGCACCACAAACCAGCCTGGTACAAGGTGACTCAGCACAACCCAAACCCATGCAACTCAGGCCCACACAACATGACCCAACTCACTCCAACACAACACAACCCCACATACCTCAGGCCCATGCAACATGACCCAATTCACCCTAACACAACCCAGTTCAACACAATGTAATGCAATTCAACCCAACCCCACACAATATGACCCAACTCACCCCAACATAACCTAGCTCTGTACAATGCAACAGCTCAACCCAACCCAACCCCCTGCAACCCAGGACACCCAGCTCAACCCAACAACTCAACACAACAGAAACCAACTCAACCCAGCAAAGCTACTGGTGGCCAGATCTCTCCAGATGTACCTCATGGAGATGATGGGGAGGGGTGCGTCTTGGGGGTCCCTGTTGGGCTGGGAATGAGGGGGGAGGGACTCCCTGAGGCCCCTCCCACTCCTGACACTAACTTGGAGGATGACTTAACCATGAGTCTTTGCAGGCCGAGGCATTGGGAAGACACTGCTGAGTGAAGTGGCGAAGGTGAGACCCCTCCCCCTCCTCCCAAAAGGATCCTATGTCCCCCTGCCTCCATCTCAGCTGGCCCCGCCCTATGCATTCATGGCACCTCCAATGCATTAGCCCCGCCCCCTACTCCCCAGGCCCCACCTGGGAGGTCATACATGGAGCCCTACCCCCTAGGGGCCTGGCCAGACCCCCATACTCTGGCCCTGCCTCCCATCAGCTTATCGCCACCCCTGGTGGCCTGGTCCCACCCCTCTCACCGTGACCCCACCCCCACAGGTATCACTGGCCCACGGCTGCGTGGAGATGAAGCTGATGGTGATGGAGGGGAACCACCGGGCCGCAGCTTTCTACCAGGGTTTGGGCGCCTGTGACACCACTGCCGATGAGGGCTGGCACTGCGTGGAGCTGGGGGGGCTGGCCCTGCACCGCCTGGCAGGGGAGGAGCTCTAGGGGGTTGGGGCCAGCATGTATGACCTCCTTCCACCATCCCACAATGCACCTGGGGCAGTGAGGTGAGGTCCTTGGAACTGGAGATGGGTATTATCATGGCTCCCATTGACTATTTGCGATCCTTCATTGACTATTCATGGCCCCCCCATTGGCCATTCATGGCACCCTCACCATGACTGACCAATTGTAATCCTCCATGGGATCTTCATGCTCCCCCCCAACACTGACCAATCGTGGGCCCCTGTGAACTATTCATGACCCCCTCTTGATCATTCATGATCCTTCCATAGACCATTCTTGGCCCCTAGTTGGCTACTCACGAGCCCCCACTAACCAATGAATATTTGTGATCCCCTGGTACGTATTCATGATCCCCTTCTTGACTATTCAGGTCCCCAGTGAATATTCACGACCCTTCCATTGACCATTTATGACCTCCCCCCACCCCATTGACAACTCACAATCCCCCATTGACTGTACCCAACCCCTACTTGACTATTCATGACCTTATTGACCATTCCTAACACTCCATTGAATATTCATGACCCTTCCATTGACACTTTGCTGGCCTCCAATAAATATATGATCCTCCCAGTGACCAACTGACTATTCACAGCACATCGCTGACCTTTCATGACCCCCTGGTGACCACGGGTGCTTCCCAGTTGACTATTCATAACTGCTGCCCCCACCCCAACATGGGCACATTCGTGGTTCTTGCATACTCTATCGTGGCAGTGGTTCCCTCATGAATATTCACTATTTCCCACCAAACAGCCAATCTATTCCAAGACACATAAGTTTTCCTGATGCTTCAAATGTCCAAAACAACCCAAGATCTGCCATGACGGACCAGAAAGTGGAGCCTCCCCAATTCTTTTCATCATAAACATTCATGACGTGCTTGAATACTGAAGAACCACCCCCCTACCCCCCAAGTGAACGTAGGAGATCCCTCAATAAATGCCAAGATTCTTCCATGAATAATGATGATGTTTTGAATATTTGGAACTGCCTACGATTCTCTGGTGAATATTCATGAGACATGAATATTTCCGACCACCCTTCATGCATATTCATGACCCCCGACAATGAATACATGAACCCCCAAGATCACCTCATGAATATTCATGACTCCATCGAATATGGAAATACTTCAAAGATTCTTCCATAAGCAGGCATGCCTCTTTGAATAACCTGGAAGCATCCCAAATTCCTTCGTACATATTCAACAGCCAAAACTGGCGTATGAATATTCATGAAGCCTCTGCCCGATCAAGAAGATCCCAATTTACTCATAAATATGCATTTCCCCCTCCAACGTGCCAAATTACCCAAGATTCTCTCTCCGGCATTCAGGATTTTTGCCAATATTCAAGATAAGCCCAAAAAGTTTCTCATGAATATTCAAGCTGGGCCTATGAATATTGAAGAGCCAACCCCCAACACTCAAGAGTATGCAAGATCCCCTTCTAAATATTCATTATTCCCCTTGAACAAGTCAAGATCATCCATGATTCCCTTCTAAATATTCATTATTTGAATATTCAAGTTCCAAGATTTCCTCATGACTATTCATTGCCCACATTCAAGAGCATCTGGGGTTCCCTTATAAATATTCATAATATAGCTTGAATATTCAAGAGGGCCTGAGATTCCCTTATGACATGTATCCCCTATGATATTCATTAGTTCCTTTGATGGAGCTCATAAATATTAGTTAAATATAATGAATATTTAAAATAAAAGCACCCTGCCCCCCAACTCGCTAGAGCCAGGTTCTCATGCCCTTATGCAGCACCGAGTACCCTCTGGTCCTGCCCCCTTCCCTCCCATCACCCACAATGCTTTGCTCCCCCAAAGCTCTGCCCCCTTCCACCAAATAACACAGGGCCTATACAACTTCATTTACATAGACTGAGCTGATTTCCATTATTTACACTGGGTTCACCTGTGTATTTCCATCATGAACAGGCTGGCCTCTGGTCAGAAACAATCATTGACTGATTTGTAGGCAACATTTGCATAATGAACACAATGATCTTCATGATATGGGGCTAAGATATATGGCTAAGGGCCTGGTGGCTTGACCAGGGACCAGCCCGCAGATGAACGAGCTCATGAATAGTCATGTCCATCTCATTGGCATAGTCTGCACGTCCTCATTTGCATAACAAGCTTAGCAGCATTGATGAAAACCTGGCCACCTCCTTACCTCATTAATATTCATGTAGCCAGGTCATATGTATAATATCTTGAATAGGCATCACCCACAAAGCCCTACCTCCCCCCTCCCCCCCAGGTTCATTAAGGGAA